AAGGCCAAACATTCAAGGGTATGTAAACTTTTGATCAGGATCATGGATCAGGTCATTATACGATAACATACCATTTTACATTTTTAATGCTTGATTTTCAAAGTACTGTTTTCAATGTATTTAAGTCCCTTTTAGGATGAAGAAGATCCTTAGCTCTAAGAAAAATGTGCCGTGCCATCTGAGGCTAACTTATTTTTAAATTTTTTTCACATAATCAACTTGCATATATGTGTGTTTCGTCAACCCTGTTACCGACATATTACTGTTTGAAAAGGTTTTAAATCTATATTTAGAACAAATATGACATACTATGAAAGATAAGACACCACTTGTTACAATAAGAGTGTTTGTAAAGTGGGAATATTGACTAGTTTACTTATATCCATGGATGAATACGTTCATTTACAATTAATACTGTCACAACATATTCTGTTTAAGAAAAAGTTATGAAAACTAAGTAATAATATCCCAATTTCTTTGAGTGTATTACTGGTCTCTTCTACTTAACTTGTACCATTAGTTGAATTCACAATTTTATTTTCATTTTTCAAATTATATTAGAATATTATACAAGTAACAGGGCTGACACATCGGTAACAGGGTTGACAGCAGTTACCGTATAGGTTATACTGCTTGTTTAAGTTACAGTCATGGGTGCAATGGAGTTATAATGGGACATTCTTAAACTTTTGATTCAAAATAACTAATTAGCATGAAAGATGATACAACTTTATGATGATGCTACAGATTTAACTGTATATAAATTGTTTAATTCAAACATATTAAAATTACATTGCAAATAAATGTGAAAAATTAAATAGTTGGGCCTGTGGGTACATAAAAATATACTTTTCTTAGCTGAGAAGGGTTGAATCGAAGGCAACTGGACGTGGTTAAAGATTTTTCACCTCTCATCCAAGCGGTGTCTTCGGTTCTAAATGACTGGTGGGGAGTTCCATGTATTTTACCTCTATGGGATCATAATCAAAGTCATTGATACCAATTAGTGGTTGGTGATCCTGGCTATTGTAACAACGGTCGTTAGGGTCCATGTTATCAACTGAGACATGTTAACAACAGTCTTTGGAATTTTTACAGTAGGCCAAATGTCACCAATTGTTTCATCTTCTAGGAACATATAAAAAGACTGCATTATAAATGGGGGATAAGTGGTGTCATATATCCTCCTCTGTTGAGAGATGGTTTCCCTATTCTGGGGGTGGTGATGGCGCATTGATAAGATGCTTGCCTCTGGTGTGGGAGACCTGGGTTTGATTTCCACTGTAAGACATCCACCATTGTGTCCCTGAGCAAGACACTTAACCCCTAGTTAACAACAACATGACTTTTTTGTAGTGTGGCATACACATTGAAGAGGACAGGAACCTCCAAATTGGAGTATACAGGAAACCCACACACACAGACCAGTACTTACTTAAAACTATCACCACCCACTAGAGTACAAGCAAGGAATTGTCAAAACTCTGCACCACCAAGTTGATAATGTACCAACAAGTGCCCAGGACCTAAGAGAAGGAGTACAAAAAACTGAAGGATGAACTTAATTGTGGATAATCTAACTGGACCCTTGTGAAAACAACCACAAGATCCAGGAAAAACTCTAATACTGTGGTTGGTGAAGAAACGAGGTAAAAAATGCTTCATCGTCATTCCATACATGTCAGGAGTGTCAGAGAAACTCAAGAGGATTTTCAACAAACACCACATCCCTGTGTTTTTCCAACCCAGCCACACACTAAGATAGAAACTGGTCCACCTGAAAGACCCCACCCCAAACACAAGAACGGCAACATAGTGTATGCTGTCCAATGCAGTGAGGAATGCACAGATTTGTATATCGGGGAAAGCAGAAAACCATTAATCAAACGTATGGCTCAACACTGGAAGGGTCAACACATCTCAGTTTAAGACTCAGCAGTTTACCTAAATCTGGGAAATAAGGGACACACTTTTGAAGACAACAACATACATATTTTGGATAGAGAGGACTGATAGTTTGAAAGAAGAGTGAAGGAGGCTTTCTACTTCAAAGTAGAGAAACCATCTCTCAAGAAAGGAGGATATCTACCAAAGTTATCCCCTACATATAATGCTGTCCTTCATCTCTTTCCCAGGAGAGTGAAAATTCCAAAGACTGTTTTTTACAATTGGCCTCAGTTGACTCCATGGACCCAAACTACCTTTGTTACAATAGCCAGCAGCACCAACCACCAATTGGTATTAATGACTTTGATCATGGCCCCACAGAGGTAAAATACCTGGAACTCCCCACCAGTATTAGAACTGAAGAAGCCACTTGGATTTGAGGTGAAACATCTTCAACCAAGTCCAGTTGCCCTCGATTAACACTTTTTGGGTAGGAAAAGTATATTTTCATGTACAGTGTGATGAAAATGAAATGTTAGACTCACTGATATTATAAATTCCAGGACACACACAAAAGCTTAGTCAACCCTGTTACCACTGAAATTCAATTCAATTCAATTCAATTTTATTTATATAGCGCCAAATCACAACAACAGTTATCTCACAGCGCTTTTCATAAAAGAGCAGGTCTAGACCGTACTCTGTGATGTTATTTACAGAAGCCCAACAGTTCCCACCAAGAGCAAGCACTAGGCGACAGAGGCAAGGAAAAACTTCCTTTTAAGAGGCAGAAACCTCGAGCAGAACCATGGCTCAGGGTGGGCGGCCATCTGCCTCGACCGGTTGGGGTGAGAGAGAGAGAGAGAGAGAGATGTAAGGAGAGAGAGAGAGAGATGTAAGGAGAGAGAGATGTAAGGAGCGAGAGAGAGGGGAGGGAGGCAGCCTACACAATATACACACAGAGGTACACACAGTGAAGGTAATGCTGCTGAAATGGTAACAGTGGTGACGGTAACAGGATTGACGAAAAATGTTATTGCCAGTCACTACTAGCCTTGTGGTAAATGTCATGACATGACATGGTGATCATTCATGAGAGGCTTAAATGTTATGTTATATGTACATTTAAAATTTCTAACAAATAACTTTTTAACATATGTTTATGTGGTAACAGGGTTGACACATTTGAGCTCGTCCCACTCCGTGAGACATTACTTAACTCAAAAAAAATCCATTAAAGGAGGTGACAATTACTTGACTTTTACCATAAACTTCATAAAAAGGCAAGTGATGTCATTTCGTGGAAATTATGTAACTTTTGGAACAGTCCATCAGCTTTGAAGGGGTGTTTTGATTAAAAGTAACGGGGTTGACAACAACATGGGGACCCAACTAAATTGTTGTTTTTTGCAACATTTTACACATATTAAGAATAAAACCCCTTCATGAGTAATGAAACAACACTTGAGGCTTTATATAGGTTTAAGTTTTTGTATGACAGTTTGACTTTTTTGGCCTCAATAGCAAGTAGAAGTAAAAAAATCATACTGAGGGACAGGCCATTTTCAACATTTCCGCAAGATACTTTGCACAAAAAAAGTGATTAAAATCTTTTAAAAACAAAAGAAACATAAATTAATTTATTCTTATATTATGAGACATATTATGAAAACTAAATTATAAAATATTTTATTTGTTTTATGTTATTGTTTTATTAAGATTTATAGAGCTTTTTTTTTCTGAGGGACTTAAAATAGCATGTTTTCATATAATGACCCTTGGGTTATTTCTGTTATCATTATTGTTTAAAAGGCAGCCAAACAATTATGTAAAAAGATATGTCTTCATATGATCACTATCCTTGAATCAAAGACAGTTATTTTGCATGATGAGTCATATTTTACTAAAATATGACTATAAAACTTAAGAGCACAACTGTATGTAGATATATATATATTCAGAGGTGTGGTATATCAGTATTATAAGGTATACAAAATTTCAGAAGAAATTAGACAATATAGTTTATACCAATATAGTCTGATTTTGAGTCAGTTAATATATTTTTCCGTAAAGTCCTGCCAGCATTTGCACCTCTGTCCCACACTGCACAGCCCTGCCACTCCCTCTGTGTCTGCTCACACCCCCCCTCTAGCGTACAGATTCTCTAGCAACATGGAGGGAGACACAGTGCCAGTCGACACTGCTGAAGACCTGGTTTGTAAAAAGAAAAACAGTAGTTCATCCAGTGTTTCCCACACACAGACTTTATCTGGGGAGGCCGCCCAGGTATAGTTGGTGACCCATTTTAGCATTCTGCAGAGAAACACAGACCAGGTAAAGCGACAGTGAACACGCCGGCGTTGGTCCATATCACCCAGCCCTGATATATATTATAAATATAGTTACAATTTGCATGCACTACTTTGGTCATCTACTGGACCATCAATTTAATATGTGAAATTGTCATACTATTTTGCCACAATGACCCAAATTCTCCACATATGACAGCACCACTTTTGAAACAAAAAACATGTGAGTGGAGTCTGCGTTACACAGCCAGCTCCCAGATGCCCGCGATCTCCTAACTCTGGAGCTTTTCACAGGGAAGACAATTTTGCGGCTATCTGCTCCATGCGTATTGCATTCAGAGGCTGGTCCCAATTTTTAATTTGTGGTTAATGACTTGTCCAGGCCAGAGCGCAGGGAAGAACAGGAGAGCTGGGAAAGCATTCAGTGGAGAGCAGCAGCAGAAGGCCTGTGGATGGTAGAAAGATTAACACACAGAAATGTCAAAATAGCTGTGAACAAAGGCTGCTCTGTCTATAGCACAAAGTTATCATAGTCCCGCTACACACACACACACACACACACACACTATCTCTAAATGGTGACCTCTCTACATGTTCACTCACCATTTAGTTGGGGTGATCCTGGTAAGCGTGTGTAGGCTCTTACATACTTTACCTGTTCCTTGCATCACGCTGTTTTTGCAGAGCACAAATTGAGTGTGCACACAGTGACAGTGTGTGTGTGTGCGCGTGTGTGTGTGTGTGTGTGCGTGTGCGTGCAGCTTCAGAGGGGCAGAGGGAGATGACATTTACTTCTCTCCACAGGTACCCACCGTTCTTTGATGACAATCCATTTGGAATCTATCAGAAGATCCTGGCCGGAAAACTTGAATTCCCACGCCATCTGGATTTCTATGTCAAGTAAGCTCCAGACACCAGGCCAGGGTCAAATTACACAAGCCATGGAATCTGTGTGTGTGTGTGTGTGTGTGTGTGTGTGTGTGTATTTTCGACATACATTAATCCTTAAAGTCTTTGCATGTAGTGGGGCTGTCACTTTTTCAAAACGTTGCGTTTGAACAGAGATTGTTTTACCCGCCTATGGTCCACTTATTCTTCTTGCATATAAATCTCATAGGTGATGAGCATGGTAAAAGTTTTTATGACGCCCATGTCCATAATGCATTATAGGATGATATTTGGAAATGATCACTGGACAAATGCTCTGTGTATTGTATCCTGGTTGTTGATTGGTTAAAGGGGACGTCCAGGACGAGCATCATTTTATGTGTTTAAGTACATTAAATTGATAAAAGAAATCCCCCCCCAATTATAAAAATGGTAAACAGAAATATACTATATTCAGTGGAGCAGTGCAGAGGATGAATTAGAGTTTAAAATTTTGGTGGTGCGGCAGCTGAAACTTATATATCTCTTCCCAGAAGGCAGCAGGGTAAACAGGCTGTGCTGGGGTGACAGGTACCAGTACTTCTTTCTTTAGCCACACTGTTGCTTGTGTTAAACCAAAACCTGGCCCGCATGTCCATACGCTGTGGCCAGTCAGGAAAATATAGCCTCCCTATTGTGAGGCTCTGATGCACCCCACCCCCTGCCATTTAAATTACTAATTAAACGTTATACTGCAAACAATTGTGGGGGCCATATTGGCCGTGGATGGGGTCTGTAAGTGCTACAACATCTAACTTGGGGCCATTGAGCTCCCTGGAGATAAAGAGGGGCTTCAGGTGCACCTGGAGAGGCCAGACACACACTGCTTCCCCTGATAATTCAGCAAACCCACAGCTTCCTACTGTAAAGCCATCTATCTCGTGGCTGGCAGACAGAAGGATTTTTAATATTTCCCCCATTTATATCACTTTTACACAGTTCGACATCCCATCCATCAAGAAGTGAAAGGCTTTGCAGGGGACTGCATAAAGAGTTCTGTGTCTCCAGCAGCAGCTGCTGAGCATTCCCAGTTATACTGGGAGAACTGTCCCAGGGTGACCCCAGCAGTAAAAGTCTTGTAAGGGATTAGTTATAAATAAGTTGGTTGTTAAGCACTTGTTATGGACATGTTGACATGACCTGACCTGATGTCCTCTGCACCACCTCCACGTCTTTCTCTGCTGTCTTTATATGGTGTGAAGCTTGTGTGTAGTTCTTGAGATGTATTTGGTTCCCTAGGGGGCTGCAAAGAATGTGTTAGAGGGACTTTAATGAGTGACACTAATCCTACTCTCAACATCTACTGCCAAAGTTCATTTGTAGTGCCACACAGTCTCACACAGTGAGTAGAATGACTGTTAGGCAGCTGCTGCAAAAAGCCTTACCTTCATCCCCAATTTTCCATCTATGACATCAAATCAAAACACTGTTACACATTACTTCAGTGTGTATGCTCAGATCTGCACCAAACTGTACATGTAGAATGAGAGTCCCACCCTGAACACATCCATATGCCAATAAACACACAATATCATAGCGCCACCTGCTGGCCACAGGAAGTGTCAAGTTTTATGCTGTTATGTACTACTGCCAACATATTTGCCTCACCTGCTTCAAAACAGTCTCAGAAGAGCCTTAACACATTGAAGATGGTATGTTGTGAATCTTGTGAGTTTTCAATTCAATTCAATTCAATTCAATTTTATTTATATAGCGCCAAATCACAACAACAGTTATCTCACAGCGCTTTTCATAAAAGAGCAGGTCTAGACCATACTCTGTGATGTTATTTACAGAAGCCCAACAGTTCCCACCAAGAGCAAGCACTAGGCGACAGAGGCAAGGAAAAACTTCCTTTTAAGAGGCAGAAACCTCGAGCAGAACCATGGCTCAGGGTGGGCGGCCATCTGCCTCGACCGGTTGGGGTGAGAGAGAGAGAGAGAGAGAGAGAGAGAGATGTAAGGAGAGAGAGATGTAAGGAGAGAGAGAGAGGGGAGGGAGGCAGCCTACACAATATACACACAGAGGTACAGACAGTGAAGGTAATATTGCTATAGACTAAATGAAAAATGGTACAGATATTTATAATAGTGTTAATGGTAACCATCGTAATGTTAATGATTATAATAACAATAATAACAATAAGACTAGCAACAATAGTTGTTGCAGTAGAGGTTGTCGAGCAGGAACACAGGGGCAGCAGGTGACCCGCAGCCACAGCTCCAGACTCCACAGCTCCAGAGCCAGAAAACCTGCAGGAAGTGATAGGAGAGAGGAGAGAGACGAGAAAGCACAAGACTACCAGAAAGGGGAGAAGTTGTGTTAGTAACATGCAATAATGGGATAAGATTGCATATAGAGGGAGAGAAAGTAGAGGAGAGAGGAGCTCATTGCATCATGGGAAATCCCCCGGCAGTCTAGGCCTATAGCAGCATAACTAAGGGATGGTTCAGGACTACCTGAGCCAGCCCTAACTATAAGCTTTATCAAAGAGGAAAGTCTTAAGCCTACTCTTAAATGTGGAGATGGTGTCTGCCTCCTGAACCCAAACTGGAACCTGGTTCCACAGGAGAGGAGCTTGATAGCTGAACGCTCTGGCTCCTAGTCTACTTTTGGAGACTCTAGGAACCACAAGTAACCCTGCATTCTGGGAGTGCAGTGCTCTGGTGGGGTAGTAAGGTACTATGAGCTCTTTAAGATAAGATGGTGCCTGACCATTAAGAGTTTTCGTATAACGGCGTTTCCTTGCCGTGGCGTTAAAGTTCGATGCTTTGCCGTAACACAGGAAGTTGTTGTAACTTAACTGTATATGCTCATATCTCTACCAAATTTCACACATTTGAGAAGGGTCACGCCCCGAACACATCTACACGCCAATATCCATTAATAATCATAGCGCACAGTGCTATGTAGTGCCACAAAAGGGACACAGGAAGTGACGAATAACACCTTTATGCAGCGTCCGAAGCGCGTAGCAAATTCATAGCCGCACCGGAAGAGCTCCAGAATATGCAACGCGCCCGCCTCACACCCAGACACGCAACAAGTACGAGGGCCCGCCCAACACTGCTTGCAGCTATAATTTCCAGATGAATTCTCCTTCATGAAATTTCTGAAAAGGCATAAATACAAATATTTTACTCTGGCGCTGATTAAAATATTTCTGTGATATATCACTCCCCAGGCTTGTCTTTAGGCATAGGAAGGATTAGACAAAACTGAAAAATTGCTGGCTTGTCAACACCCAGCTGCTGTGTTTATAAGCCTATCGAAAGCTCTCTGTTCATCAGCCGCTATCACATTTCATCGGAAAGCCATTTTAAGACCCCTGTGAATCATCCTCATTTTCCACACACGGATATCTACATCATGTGCACAGTTTATAGTCTGAGAAAGTTCCTGTCTGCAAAAAAGGGCTCACTTTTTTCTATGAAAAGACTGTCAAAGGTACACAACTCACTTAGCCAGCCCTGTCAGGCTACCTTTGGTGATGATGCGTTTGTCATTTCGACAGTGCTGGGAGGACTTTCTGACAGTTTTTCTGTGTGTGTGTGTGTGTGTGTGTGTGTGTGAGAGAGAGAGAGAGAAGCACACGGCTTTGGATTCACTGACTGTTTCTTTTTCCCCCAGAGACCTCATCAAGAAATTTCTGGTCATTGACCGAGCCAGACGGCTAGGCAACATGAAGGTGAGTTGGTTAGACTTCCTGCTTCTATGAACCACATGGCAGCTTACCATATTTCATACCTTCTGCAGGATGGGACAGGAAAAGGCCCACAGTGTGACTGAAGCTCCACATGCTTCCAATTAGTCAGAAATGAAGAGCGATGTACTGAAGGCTCATTTTGGACTTTTTAAGGGTTTTCACTCCCATCAGGAGGTATGAATGTCTGTGGGCACTTCTGTAAGATAGGGTCGCTGACTTGTAATTTAAATATTGTTTGTCCCAAATTAAGTTATGGAAATGTTTTCATGACTCAGTTATTGAGTCAGTTCACAACAACTTCAAGCTTTAGAAAAATCTAACTGAAACTGTCAAAGTTTAATGGAAAATTTAATAACCAATCCTACTGTTAGGATCAAATCTTTTTCATATCTACTATCTAAATCTAAAAGCAGATGGGTCACACTGGTAAAGAAACATGAAGTGAATTTGAAAGCTGGGCTGTTACTTTGATGTTCTCTCCTAATAGTTGAATTGTTAGCTTTACCTGAAACAGGGGTGCGCAAGAAGTTAAGAGTACCTAGGTCTCAGGGAGTTGGTATAAATCCATACATAAACAGCTCTAAATAGAGAATCGAATAACCAATTTAGCAACAAGAATTTCTCCCATTAGCAATTTGATCCCATACTCACCCTTCCCGTTAGAGCTTCAGCTGCTGCTTCATATGCAAAGTTAGAGGTTGTTCGTCTGGAGTGAATGATTTATATAGTGCCAAATCACAACAACAGTTATCTCACAGCACTTTTTATAAAAGAGCAGGTCTAGACCATACTCTGTGATGTTATTTACAGAAGCCCAGCAATTCCCACCAAGAGCAAGCACTAGGCGACAGAGGCAAGGAAAAACTTCCTTTTAAGAGGCAGAAACCTCGAGCAGAACCATGGCTCAGGGTGGGCGGCCATCTGCCTCGACCAGTTGGGGGTGAAGGAGAGAGAGAGAGAGGGCGAGAGAGAGAGAGAGAGGGATGGAAGGAGAGAGAGAGGGGAGGGAGGCAGCCTACACAATATACACACAGAGGTACAGACAGTAAAGGTGATGTTGCTGTAGACTAAATGAAAAATGGTACAGATAAATACAGTAATGTTTATGATAATAATCGTAATGTTAATGATTATAATTACAATAGGACTAGTAACAATAGTTAGCAGAGGGTGTCGAGTAGGAACACGGGGGCAGCGGGCGACTCGCAACCACAGATCCAGACCCCACAGCTCCAGAGCCAGAAACACCTGCAGGAAGTGATAGGAGGAGAGAGGAGAGGGACGAGAAAGCACAAGACTACCGGAAAGGGGAGAAGTCGAGTTAGTTACATGCATTAATGGGATGAGGTTGCATAGAGAGGGAGAGAAAGTAGAGGAGAGAGGAGCTCAGTGCATCATGGGAAGTCCCCATCCTCAGTCTAGGCCTATAGCAGCATAACTAAGGGATGGTTCAGGACTTACCTGAGCCAGCCCTAACTATAAGCTTTATCAAAGAGGAAAGTCTTAAGCGTACTTTTAAATGTGGAGATGGTGTCTGCCTACTGAACCCAAACTGGAACCTGGTTCCACAGGAGAGGAGCTGGTGCTGGAGGCCAGGGCGATGCCATCCAGGGAAACTATATCTTTAGATAATGCGTCACGGAGGTGCTTGGGCCCCAGAACAATAACTTGAGTTTTATCTCAGTTTAACATTAGAAAATTACAGGCCATCCAGGTTTTAACATCCTGAAGGCACATTTGAAGTTTAGCTAACTGATTAATTTCATCTGGCTTGATTGATAGATATAACTGAGTATCATCTGCATAACAATGAAAGTTTATGGAATATTTCCTGATAATATTGCCTAAAGGAAGCATATATAAAGTGAACAGGATTGGTCCGAGGACAGATCCTTGTGGAACACCATGACTAACTGTGGCGTGCATGGAGGACTCATCGTTAACATGTACAAACTGAAATCGATCTAATAAATAGGACTTAAACCAGCTTAGAGCGATTCCTTTAATGCCAATGAAATGACCCAGTCTCTGTAATAGGATCTGATGGTCAATGGTGTAAAAATGCAGCACTAAGATCTAGTAAAACCAGTACAGAGACAAGTCCTTTGTCTGATGCAATGAGGAGGTCATTAGTAATTTTCACCAGTGCTGTCTCTGTGCTATGAACTCTAAATCCTGACTGAAAATCCTCAAATAAACTATTGCTCTGTAGAAAGTCACACAGCTGTTTAGCAACTGCTTTCTCCAGGATCTTAGAGAGAAATGGAAGGTTAGATATAGGTCTATAGTTGGCTAAAACATCTGGATCAAGTTTGGGGTTTTTCAGAAGAGGTTTAATTACAGCTACTTTAAAGTACTGTGGTACATAGCCTGTTGATAAAGATAGATTGATCATATCTAGTATAGAAGTGCGGACTAAGGGTAAAACTTCTTTAATCAGCCTAGTCGGGATAGGGTCTAAGAGGCAGGTTGATGTTTTAGATGAAGAAATTATTGAAGTTAGTTGGTAAAGATTGAGGGAAGCAAAGCAGTCTAAACATATCTGGTTTTACAGCTGTTTCTAAGGTTCCTGAGTTTAGAGATAAGTCGGTGCCAGTTGAGGGCAGGTCTTGGTGAATTTTGTTTCTAATAGTTAGAATTTTATCATTAAAGAAGCTCATGAAGTCGTAACTACTGAGAGCTATGGGAATACTTGGCTCAATAGAGCTGTGACTCTCTGTCAGCCTGGCTACAGTGCTGAAAAGAAAGAAACCTTTTTTCCTCTATTAATGACGAGTACGCTCCTCTGGCATTACGGAGGGCCTTCCTATAAGTTTTAAGACTATCTTGCCAAATTAAACGAGAATTTTCCAGTTTGGTGGAACGCCAATTCCTCTCAAGTTTCCGCGATATTTGCTTTAATTTGCGAGTTTCAGTATTATACCATGGATCTAACCGTCTTTGTTTTATTATTTTCTTTTACACCTACAGAGTCGAGTGTCATTCGCAGCGAGCCTGCAGCACTATCAACAAGATGATTGATTTGGGAGGGACTGAAATTAACATAGGAATCCTCCGTTACTTTGTGATCTGATTATGAATTTAGAGCTGATGGAATCGCATCCTTAAATTTAGCTACAGCACTATCAGACAGACATCTTGTATACAAATTTAACACCAAATTGCATTGGTTCCTCTTAAACCTCACAGAGAAGGCCTGAAATTCGGAAGAAAAGCATTTTGACTAATTTCACTGTGTACAGCCTGAGGAATTTGAGAGACATTTTTTTTTGTCATCTCTTGGAAGACTTGCACAGTATCTATGTTTTACTGGGAGCCCGCCACTTCATCACTCATCAATGGGGGCTGTGTAGATTCCCATTCAAACTGGAGAAGTGGAGCGTTTCACTTAACATTAGCGAAAGGAGCGGGAGACTTGAGAGGTACTCTCAATAAAACAAATACTTCTCTAAACCCAGTCATTAACTCCACATAATCCCAGACAAGATAGAAATTTGTGGCTGCCAATATTTCTCTGCAGAGCAGTCACATAGCTCATTAACACAACACTGATGCTGTGTGCTGATGTATGGAAGCTGGACTGTGCCACTATAATAATGACAGTGTTTAATTACAATCAACTGATAAATTATTAGGGCCCGAGCACGAACTGTGCTAGGTCCCTATTGAAACTGTAAAGATTATTATTTTTTTAGGGACCGAGCAAGATTTTTTTTTGTTTTTCTTTTTTCTGCAAAGTAAGCTCAATGTTGGGGGCCTAAACATACCCGAAAACTCACCAAACTTTGCACATATGTCAGAAGTGGTGAAAATTTTTGTATTTTATGGGTTTCGCGCATGGGAGAGGCAACATGACTCGCTAGCGCCACCTAGAAAATTGGAAAAAATTAGCCCCTTGTTCACGTTCAACCTACATGCACGAAATTTTCTGGGGACATGTATCATAAGAAACCATATCCTAAACTCAACAGGAAGTCGGCCATTTTGAATTTTATGGTCATTTTTGGATGATTTACACACTCCGTACTTTAACGAACTCCTCCTAGGGATTTAGTCGGACCGACTTCAGATTTCTACTGTGCCTTCTAAAGGCATTGACGATGAAAAGTTGTGCTATTTGCGAGTTTTCGTCAATGGGCGTGTCTGTGGCATCGATGATTCGCCATGAAAAGACTTCAGTGTACATGCTCACATTTGCACCCAACTGTACATGTAGGATGAGAGTCCCGCCCTGAACACATGTACATGCCGACATTCACCCACAGTCATAGCACCACCTGCTGGCAACAGGAAGTGACCTTTCTTCTTGAGGCTTTTTTGTGCGTCTTGATATGATACATGTCCCGTTCGTTAAAGTACAGAGTGTGTAAATCATCCAAAATTTGACGTAAAATTCAAAATGGCCGACTTCCTGTTGGTTTTAGGCTATGGCTCCAAGAGACTTTTTTGTGCGTCTGGACAAGATACACGTACCACAGAAAATTTGTGCACGTAGGTGAAACGTGCGGCGGGGGGCTGCTTCGTTAAAGGTCACTTTCTGTTGCCAGCAGGTGGCGCTATGACTGTGGGTGAATGTCGGCATGTACATGTGTTCAGGGCGGGACTCTCATCCTACATGTACAGTTTGGTCCAGATGTGAGCATATACACTGAAGTTACAACAACTTCCTGTTTCATAGCGAATCATCGACGCCACAGACACGCCCTTTGACGAAAACTCGCAAATAGCACAACTTTTCATCGTCAATGCCTTTAGAAGGCACAGCAGAAATTTGACTTCGATCCGACTAAATCCCTAGGAGGAGTTCGTTAAAGTACAAAGTGTGTAAATCATCCAAAAATGGCCGTAAAATTCAAAATGGCCGACTTCCTGTTGACTTTAGGTTATGGGTTCTTGAGGCTTTTTTGTGCGTCTTGATATGATACATGTCCCCAGAAAATTTCGTACATGTAGGTTGAACGTGAACGAGGGGCTAATCTTTT